GATGATGATGATGATGATGACGATTCCGAAACATCCAGGGCAACCCAAACCACGACCCACATCACACCACAGGTGGGCGGAGGGACTGAGAGCAGAGCAGATCCAACCCCGAACCGCACCACACCGGGGGGGGGGGGGGGGGGCAACTCCAAGCCCCGAACCAGGATCCATGCACATATTCTTTATGTATGTACTGATGTACTTCTGCATGTATACAGATGTGCATATACACAAACACGCACTGACACATACACACATGTATACACATACGCATATACAAAAGTACACATAAACATATATGTTATATGCTCATATAATAAATATTACACACAGACATATGCACACATCTGAACCTAGACGCATACACGTTCGTGCATACATGCATATGTGCACACATACATACNNACATACATACATACATACATGTTTTCCGAAGGCATGGTTGCTGTCGGCTTCTTTGCTATACTGCGTGTAAGACAGGCCATGTTGTTTTGCTCAACATCACCACCTTTGCCTTTTGTGGAGTGCAGCAGGTTTTGGTATCGTGGCTTGCTTCGCTCTCGCCGAGTTGAAACAGGTTTGCCAAAGAGAATACATCCCGTGCATCTGTTCTATTGTGAGTCCAGGGCTTTCACGGGATATCCTTGTTGCAAGCTTCACTGACAATGTAATAACCAACTTGCACAACACCTGCTCACTCGGTCTGCAAAGACGGAACTAGCAAGATATTTAAACCGTAAGAAAGCAACCCGAAATCCCAATCTCTGAGCGGTAGCAAAAATTGTTCGAAGCAGCGACAGAGGCCTGTCCCAGCGCAAAGAAGCTGGAGATGGGTGACGTCAACCCAAAGGAGCGTTTCTCTGTTTTCGGATTGTTGGTGGAGAGTTTGGTGTCTCAGTTCAGTTACGGCTGAGGGAATCGACAATTCGGGTTTGCATAGGGTATCTGAGCTGGGAAGCAAGAGTTGGGCAAAGGTTAAGGCATTCAGAATTCAGGATGGTGGGCCGTAGATGGAGACTGAAGTTGAATTCGCTGCCAGGATACCGTCTGTTGCAGTCATATAGACGTGCTTTTGTAAAATGTGCCAGCATACCATCTGATGTCGTGACATATATGTGCCTCCGTAACGTGGCTGTGGAATGTTTGCATGGGAACAATAGGCCTTGGGTAGCTTTTCGTGTAGTCGTTTACTCGTTGCCAGCTTGTTGTGTTTTCCGCATGCTATTTCAAGCAGACTAGCAAGCACACCTACTATCGTTACTATCGTTTGGACGACGACAAGTACTACTCCTACTCCAACAACAGCAACGACAACACCTGCTACGGCTGCTGCTGCTACTGTTACTACTAC